CAATAAGTATCATATTTTTCCTCCACAAGACGCACCTGACCATAAGACGCACCTAGGTTTTAGAGGCAGAAAACTGGGGAAAAATATATTCTGAACCAATGGACTGCAGACATAGTACAGAAAATGACCAGAGACTGAAGACACAGTACAGGAGATGACCAGAGACTGCGGACACAGTACAGGAGATGACCAGAGACTGCGGACACAGTACAGGAGATGACCAGAGACTGCGGACACAGTACAGGAGATGACCAGAGACTGCGGACAGTACAGGAGATGACCAGAGACTGCGGACACAGTACAGGGGATGACCAGAGACTGCGGACACAGTACAGGAGATGACCAGAGACTGCGGACACAGTACAGGGGATGACCAGAGACTGCGGACACAGTACAGGAGATGACCAGAGACTGCGGACACAGTACAGGAGATGACCAGAGACTGCGGACACAGTACAGGGGATGACCAGAGACTGCGGACACAGTACAGGGGATGACCAGAGACTGCGGACACAGTACAGGGGATGACCAGAGACTGCGGACACAGTACAGGGGATGACCAGAGACTGCGGACACAGTACAGGGGATGACCAGAGACTGCGGACAGTACAGGAGATGACCAGAGACTGCGGACACAGTACAGGGGATGACCAGAGACTGCGGACACAGTACAGGAGATGACCAGAGACTGCGGACACAGTACAGGGGATGACCAGAGACTGCGGACACAGTACAGGGGATGACCAGAGACTGCGGACACAGTACAGGGGATGACCAGAGACTGCGGACACAGTACAGGGGATGACCAGAGACTGCGGACATAGTACAGGAGATGACCAGAGACTGCGGACACAGTACAGGGGATGACCAGAGACTGCGGACATAGTACAGGGGATGACCAGAGACTGCGGACACAGTACAGGGGATGACCAGAGACTGCGGACATAGTACAGGGGATGACCAGAGACTGCGGACACAGTACAGGAGATGACCAGAGACTGCGGACATACTACATCATATAAAGTCCCAACAGGGCCCCTCCACCCAGAATATCAAATGATCTGACACCATACACCAAGGAAAAGGACTACAACTCACAGCATCTGTCATTTTAACTTACAGAAGGCAGGCTTTAGAAGGCAGGGGGCGCACTGAGCTCCGAGGACAGGCCACACCAGCAGATAGGACCGGACTGTAGAGCAGGGAGCACACTATGGACACATGCCAGGAAAGGGGAGGCGCTGTAAGGACAGGCCACACCCGCAGACCGGACTGCAGAGCTGGGAGCTCAGTACATAGACATGCCAGGAGCGGGGACGAGCTCCGAGGACAGGCCACGCCTGCAGGGCGGACCGGACTGCAGAGCAAGCTGGCTGGGTTCAGCGAGGGGACTGCCTGCTATGAAGAGTTGCGGGGACAGCCCGCTGAGAGAGGGCAAGGTGAACTTTGGTGACAGCCTGCAGTGGGAGGGGACAGGCTGCACTGGGATGGGACAGCCTCTGGCACCAACACGGCGGCGGTGACAGGTGGAGGACTGGTCAGTATTCGCTCCATAAGACGCAGAGACATTTTCCCCCATATTTTTTGGGGAAAAAAGTGCGTCTTATGGAGCGAAAAATACGGTACCTTCAGGCATTTAAAGGGCTTTATTTCCTCATTACACTTCCTGACTACCTATCACAGTTTCGGAGGCCCTGGAATGCCAGAATAGCACCAAACCCCCCCAAATGACCAATTTTTGGAAAGTAGACACCCCAAGGCATTTGATAAGAAGCATGATGAGTATTTTTCAGATCTCGTTTGTTGCCACAAGTTTATGGAAAATGAAGAAAGAAAACAAAAACATATTTTTTCTTTTCTTTTTTTTATATTTCAAAACCTTGTGAGAAAAAATGAGATCTGCAAAATACTTACTATGCCTCTTTTTAAATTCCTTGGAGTGTCTACTTTCCAAAAAGGGGTCATTTGGGGGGGAGGTTGGTGCTATCCTGGCATTCCAGGGCCTTCAAAACTGTGATAGGTAGTGAGGAAGTGAAATAAAGAAGTTACGCACCTTCAGGCTTTCAAAGTGGTCATTGGATTTCAGGCTCCTGTATGTGGCTAGGCTCCCAAAAAGTCTCACACGTGTGGTATCCTCATACTCGGTAGAAGTAGCAGAATGTATTTTGGGGTGCAATTCCACATATACCCATGGCTTGTGCAATAAATAAATCATTTAAATGACAATTTTGTGTAAAAAAATAAAACTTTTTTGTCATTTTCCAGAAACTTGTGGAAAAAAAAAAAAATCTTCCATGGACACAATATGCCTCTCAGCAGATAGCTTAGGGTGTCTACTTTCCGAAAAAGGGGTCATTTGGGGGGTGTTTGTTCTATCCTGGTATTTTAGCACCTCAAGAGATGTGATGGGCGGTCAGAAAGTAAAAGCTGTGTAAATTTCAAATTATCTATACCATAGTTTGTAGATGCTATAACTTACACACAAAGCAATCAATATACACTTACTGGGATTTTTTTTACCAAAAACATGTAGCAGAATACATTTTGGCCTAAATTTATGACGAAATTTGAGATTTTTGGATATCTTTTATGACGGAAATGAAATTTGAGATTTTTGGATATCTTTTATGACGGAAATGAAAAAATATTGTTTTTTTTGTTTTAAATTTTGGGGGTTTTTTGTTTATAGCGCAAAAAATAAAAAGCACACGGGTGATCAAATACCACTGAAAGAAAGCTCTATTAGTGTGAAAGAAAGGACATACATTTTTTTTGGGTGCAGCTTTGCATGACCGCGCAATTGTCAGTTAAACTAGTGCAGCGCTGTATAGCAAAAAATTGGATAAATTACAGTATCTATACCATAGTTTGTAGACACTATAACTTTTGCACAAAGCAATCAATATACACTTATTGGGATTTTTTTTACCAAAAACATGTAGCAGAATACATTTTGGCTTAAATTTATGACTAACTTTGAGTTTACGATATATTTTTTATAATTGAAAGTAGAAAATATTGGGGTTTTTTTAAATTTTCGTGATTTTTGTTTATAGCGCAAAAAATAAAAAGCGCACAGGTGATAAAATACCACAAAAAGAAAGCTCTATTTGTGTGAAAAAAGGACGTAAATTTCGTTTGGGTACAGCATTGCATGACCGCGCAATTATGATTTGAATTAGTGCAGCGCCAAACAGCAAAAAAAAAGGCCTGGTCATTAAGGGGGGTAAATCCTCAGGAGTGCAAGTGGGTAAAAAAGTGGTTTCACCGGCGGATTCGGTAATTTAAAAGCTTTCCGGAGTCATCGGTAAGCCCGGAACCAATTAAATGTGGCTGATGAAAGAAAGAGAAGGGGGAGAGGGAGAGGAGGGAAAGAGAGAGAGGGGTGAGAGAGGGAGAGAGAGAGGTGAGAGAGGACGACGAGAGAGGGGTGAGAGAGGGAGAGAGAGAGGAGGGAGAGAGAGGGAGGAATAAAGAGAGGGGGGGAGAGAGGTGGAGGGGAGAGAGAAAGAGGGAGCGAGAAATAAGGAGTTGGGGAACGAGACTCTCAATGTCACTGCATATCAAGGCATGACAGGCTACAATTGCTCAGCTCACAGCACAAGGAGATGAAGCAAAGCGATCACTAAAGCCTGTCAGCCTTTCCCATACTCTCAGTTGTCAGTAAAGGCAGAGGAGGGCTGTTGATGCAGAGCAGCAGAGAAGGCAGAATTTTCATGGAGGATATTGCAGGTCTGCCAGTGTAGGATGTTCACCTGCTTCCTCCAGCTGCTTGCTCTGCTCAGGCTGCCCCCCCCCCCCCCCCCCCATCTCTAGTTACACTCTCTTGTTCTTTCAGCATCGAATGCCATCCTCTGTCTCTCTTCCTGGCTCCCCTAATCACTCACAGCTCTCAGACTCTTCCATAGTCATGGTAAGCAGGGCGGACAATGGAGGAGGTGGAGCAGATCAATAGAATAAAGTTGGAGCCTCCTGGCTGTGAATTATGCAGCTTTGCATATACATCACTGGTTGCTAGACACCAAGGCAGTCGTAGCAACCAGTGATTTCACTGGGGGACATTGGGCAGCGACTACCAGAACCGGAAAGCTGGTCTTCCAAAAGCTGGTCTTCAGATGGTACAGCAAACAGAGGATTCTGAGCCAGCTGTGATGCTACCCCAATGTGCAGGCAGCATGGGTTACAGACTCCCTTGGATGCAGCCTTCAGAGCAGCCCAGGGGGGCTGTCATTCGTAGGACACCACCTCCATGGCCGCTACAGACCGGCAGTCTGTGTATCTTGCTCCGCCCACTGCAACAAGCAGGGATGTAAATACATCCCTGCTTGCTGGAGAACAGAACTACAGATGGGACGTACCAAGACCGGTGTCTGTGGGAATAGGAAGCATAGCAGCGATCGGTCTTACTAGAAGGAAACCACTGGGAATTAAGGGTTTGATTTAAAGATCTTCAGGCTATTTCAGAACTACTTAGAAAACAAGAAGATGGATTACATATTCAGTGAAGGCAGAAGATAAGCAACAAGAACATGTAAAAAAAAGGTTTTGCCCAGAGTTCTCCTTTAAATGTTAATAATCTTTAGTCTGTTTTACCAAACAACCTGAGATTTTTATAATATGTTGGCATAGATAGAGTCTTCTATTGTATACATTTTGTGGAAATTGGATAACATCCATGCTCTCTTTTTTACTTTAAGCCACAATTAGTTCCCCTCAAAATAAGTACAGCACCCCCCTGACCCCGAGAGACATAGCGTGGACCCTCAAAGGCAGGAAAGGTTGACATGTTTTCGGACAGATCCTAGGCCAGTGAAGGGATCTGCAATCAAAGAAATGTTGGGCGCCAGTCAGTTTAAGTACATCTTTGAATTCTTTATTGGGGAACTCCATAACTGGGAGATAGGGCATAAGGTTTAGAACATTCATGTCAAAACTATATTAGAAAAGAATTCCAGACTCACCAGACCCTTTCAGTATTTCACAGTGCAGAATCAATAGGAGCACAAGCTGGCACTGGTTATTAGAGGAACAGCTAAATATGGATAGTCATGTGATCTTTAATAGGTCAGACAGACTTGCCCCTTAGGTCCATTCCAGTACCAGGTACCTCCAGTAGCCATCCAGCTTCTCTCATTCTCCTCCTCAATCAGCATGTGAGGCCCCTTCTAGGCTTGAGTCCTAGTCAAACCTTTCCCGCACATAAGCATTACCTCACCTGGCCAAGCCTGGAGGTAGACTGTACTAAGATTGAGCACATAGCCATTCTCATGAATATATACAGTGGATATAAAAAGTTGACATACCACTGTTAAAAAAGTCAGGTTTCTGTGATGTAAGAAAATGAGACAAAAAAAAATTAATTTCAGAAAAATGTCCACCTTTAATGTGACCTATAAACTGTACAACTCAGTTGAAAAATATACTGAAATCTTTTTGGTGGAGGGAAGTAAAAATAAAAGACTAAAATAATATGGTTGCATAAGTGTGCACACCCTTAAACTAATACTTTGTTGAAGCACCTTTTCATGTTATTACAGCACTCAGTCTTTTGGGGTATGAGTCTTTCAGCATGGCACATCTTGACTTTGCAATATTTGCCCCTCTTCTTTGCAAAAACTCTTCAAATCTGTCAGATTGTGAAGGCATCTCATGTGCACAGCCCTCTTCAGATCACGCCACAGATTTTCAATCAGATTCAAATCTGGGCTCTGGCTGGGCCATTCTAAAACTTTAATAATCTTCTGGTGAAGCCCTTCCTTTGTTGATTTGGATGTATGCTTGGGTCGTTGTCATGCCGAAAGATGAAGTTCCTCTTCATGTTCAGCTTTCTAGCAGAAGCCTGAAGGTTTTGTACCAATATTGACTGGTATTTGGAACTTGGAAGAATGTACTTCCCAAACATGCACCAAAAACCAAGAAATCCCCAGTGATTGGCTGGTGAGCCACAAACACACACTCATAATATTCCCCCATTGGCTGTCCCACGCTATGGCCACTACACAAGGTGGTAGGGGCTACACAAGCTTAATGTCACTCACTTGTTTTGTGGGAGATCAAAACCCATGAAACTTCTAGGACATGTTTGGGTTGTTGAGAACTTGGGCTGTGCAACGTTTCAAGTCAATTGATTGAGATTTAGGCACATTATGGTACGTTAAGCTCTTTTTACATTAAGCTGTTTACATTAAATGTTTTAGCAATGTAAAAATACAGCTTAAAGTGGTTGTAAAGGCAGAAGGTTTTTTATCTTAATGCATTCTATGTGCAGCAGCCCTCTGAGCCCCCCTAACACTTAGCTTAGTTTCCTCTCTCTCCCATTGCTGTCAAAGTCA